GAGGTCCTCCTCCTCCTCCTCCTCCTCCTCCTCCTCCTCCTCCTCCTCCTCCTCCTCCTCTTTCTCCTCCTCCTCCTCCTCCTCCTCCTCCTCCTCCTCCTTTTCCTCCTCCTCCTCCCCTCCTGCGCGTCCCAGGGCAGGTCCAGACTGCACACGCGCGGAGGGCGGTTTGATTTCCAGACGGGGCCCTCGCCTGGGCGCGGAGGAAGATCGGAGGAAGATCGGAAGCTGGAACGTACACACTGCCAGTGGCGGGCGGTTTTTCAATCTCAAGACTTTTTTTGAGGGTCGGGGACGACGTCGGGGTGGTGCGGTGTACACTTTTTCCCGTTTTCCCAGGGAAGCAGCGAAACATGTATACACCAGGCTCCCGAAAACACCAGAATCCGCGTTCCTGTGCGAATTTCAGCGCAGGGTCGGAAAAAGCGTCGGTGTATAGAGTTCGTTTCCCTAGAAGAGGTACCGATGCCCTGTGGCCACCACGAGGGTGCGAAGTGGGTCGCGCTTCGCGCGAGGACGGTTGCCTCAAAGATCCCTAGAGCATTGCCGCTGCCCTTTCTCGTTTTCGCCTCTGATGGGGCCTCCTGGGGGGCCCTCGTCGCCACCGCTGGATCCGCCCCGCAGATCTGGTCGGAGGTCCGGGAAGTGGCAGTCCCAGACATCCGGCTGCTCCAAGTTTTTCGATGCGTGGGCCTCGGAGGTTTGGACCACTCTCTTGTCGCAGGCTTAGAGGTTGACACCAACACCAATATCGGCGGTGTGCCTCCACCGAGGGAAGAAGATCCCGATCTCGGTGATGGTGGTAATATTCTGGCTTCCAAGATCACCGAAACATTGCCACCAACACCGAAATCTAGGATCATCTTCCCCATGTGGAGGGAAACCCCTGTGTTGGTGTTGGTGCCCATTTCTAGGCCTCCAATCCTGGGGCCGGCGTTTCGTCCTGAGTCGTTTCTCGGCGGTCCCGAGGCCCCACCAGGGCCATTGGTCGGGCGGGGCCAGGACGAGGACGAGTCCGTTCCAGAGCGTTCGGGGACGCTCCGAGAGGGCCGCGGCGCCCGAAACGTCCTCCGGAGCCGCCAGATCTCAGGGATTCTCGACGGATCCTCACTTGATTTTTGTTCCTCGTCCTAGCTTCGTCTTACCTGGGGGCTGAAGCCATGCAGAAACAGACCGCTCCAATTCTTGTTGGAGCGCCAGATCTCTGGTGGTGCAGCAGAGGAGGAAGCTGCCGCCCGCAGAGGCCACCTACGTACATCGTACGACTTCGTCGTCGTGGTCGTCGTCGTCATCGTCGTCGTCGTCGTCGTAAGGGTGGTCGTCAGTCGTGGTCGTGGTCGTGGTCGTGGTCGTGGTCGTGGTCGTGGTCGTCGTCGTTGTTGTCGTCGTCGTCGTCGTCGTCGTCGTCGTCGTCGTCGTCGTCGTCGTCTCGGTCGTCGTGGTCGTGGTCGTCGTCGGCACCTCTTGGCCTCCGCAGGCGGGGCGGCGCCGCTGCTGCCCTTCGGGCACGGGTTGTCGTACTCCAGCTTCTCCTACGGCCCCCTGGAGGCGGGAGCGGGGGCGCCAGTCCTTGTTTTTGTCGGTCCTCCTCCTCCTGCTCCTCCATCTCCTCCTCCTCTTCCTCCTCCTCCTCCTCCTCCTCCTCCTCCTCCTCCTGCTCCTCCCCCTCCCCCTCCCCCACCCCGTCCCCTTGCTCCTCGTCCCTCCCCCCCCTCGCCCTCCCTCTCCCCTTCTCCTTGTCCATGCGCGCGAGGCCGGTCCTTGTCGGCGCACGTGCGCTCCCTCTTGGCCCAGCTGCAGCCACGCGCAGAGTGGGGCGGCGGGAGGGGGGAAGGCTTCTTAGAAGCACCCCCCCCTCCTTGGAAGGCGCGAGCGCCCCTTCTGAGAAGCTTGTGGCTGCTCCTTAGAAGCCGTTATTGGCGTGCTTCGATGGAGCAGGTGGCTTGCTGTTCCCGGCCCAGCTGCCGGGCGGGCGGGACCTCCAGTGTAGCATGCCCAGGGCTGGCCAGGGCAGGGCCTCGGTGCGCGCGAGTGGACGAGTGGCGCACTCCTGCAGGCAGTGGCGGCGCGTCCTGGCCTGCCAGTAGGTCCACCAAGTCATGTCCTGAGAGCCGCCTGTGGTCTGCACGGAATGTTCGTGGAACATGTCTGGCCGATGGAGTCTTGTTTGAATCCATCGGTGCTATGTTCCAAGAACGCTGTTTGGTTTATAAACAGTTCTTCTTTCGAAGAACGTGCCGTCCCAGGCATCCGGGGCTGTTTTTGTTGATGCGTGGCCCCTGGATGTCTGGACCACGTCCCTGGGGCCGGTTTTTTCATCCTGAGCCGTTTTTGGACGGTCCCCAGGCCCGGCGAGGGCCCCCAGAGGCCGAAGCCAGCCCAAACCCGCCCGCTCCTATGTTTGTTGTTGCGTCGGATCTCTGGGGTGGTAGGCCTGCGAGAATGCCGGGACGGTCGGCCCCTGCTCAGCGCCTCCCCCTCGAGGCCAAGCCTCGACCAGAACGGTGTTCTGTTCGCGGTCTCGTGGGCCGTTCTCGTTTTTATTTCGCTTGGCAGCGAAGGCGGGACGAGGACAGAGCGAGGGGACACCGAAAGCAAGCCGAAGACGACAAAACGACAAAACGACAAGACGACAACGAGACCCCAAGCAGCACGAAGGCGACACGAAAACGAAGGAAGCGTCCGAGCCCCCCTCCTCCTCCTCCTCCTCCTCCTCCTCCTCCTCCTCCTCCTCCTCCTCCTCCTCCCTCCTCCTCCTCCTCCTCCTCCTCCTCCTCCTCCTCCTCCCCTCTTCTCCTCCTCCTCCCTCTTCTCCTCCTCCTCCTCCTCCTCCTCCTCCTCCTCCTCCTCCTCCTCCTCGAGGCCAGCCAGCTGCTGGGCTGCGAGGACCCCGGCGGCCCCAGCGCCGTGGTGAGGCTGGCGGTGGGCAACCGGGGCTCGCGGGCGGGGGCCGAGGTGGTGCAGCTCTACGCGCGGGCGGGGCCGGAGGGCATGCGGGCCCTGGGCGCCTTCGCGCGGACGCGGGCCGCGAGGGGTCGGGCAGAGCCACGGGAGATAGAGGATGTTTAAGCCCCCGAGGATGGTGATGATGACGATGACGATGACGATGACGATGACGATGCTGATGACGATGATGATGATGATGATGATGATGATGATGATGATGATGATGATGATGATGATGATGATGATGATGATGATGATGAGGATGATGAGGATGAGGATGATGAGGATGATGAGGATGATGAGGATGATGAGGATGAGGATGAGGATGAGGATGAGGATGAGGATGATGATGATGATGATGGTGATGGTGATGGTGATGATGACGAGGATGAGAATGAGGATGAGGATGAGGATGAGGATGAGGATGAGGATGATGAGGCTGATGATGATTGGAGGATGAGGATGAGGATGAGGATGAGGATGAGGATGAGGATGAGGATGAGGATGAGGATGAGGATGAGGATGATGATGATGATGATGATGATGATGATGATGATGATGATGATGATGATGATGATGATGATGATGATGATGATGATGATGATGATGATGATGATGATGATGATGATGATGATGATGATGATGATGATGATGATGATGATGATGATGATCCACGCATCCAAGAAGGTCTGGAGCTCCCCGCTCGATACAGCCTCCCGAAGCCATGGCCTTTCCCTCTGGCGCTGCGGACGCAAGACCTGACCCGTGCCGAAGCACACTCGCAGACTCGCCTGAAACTAGAGGCCACGCCATCCGCCTCGGCCGAGGCAAGCGGAAGGCAGGGCACCGAGCATTCACGGCAACTCAGCTTGCTGGCTGGCGGCACAGAGCAGAGCAAGCTGGGGCGCAAGAAGCGCAGACGCTGCCCAAGAGGGGCGGGAGGGAGTGAACCCTGGCGTGTGCCGAGCCCCACGGGGTACAGCCTACGCCACGGGGTCCCTCCCCCCCCAGAGGCAGCAGCTCGGCGCAGGCATTCGTGATCCTTGGACCCGCCTGCGACACGAGCAGATCCCGTGAAGACACCAAGGCCCCCAAGCGGGCGGGCATCTGAGCGTCTAAGGCCTGGGGCGCCTCGAGTGGGACCCCGAGGAGGAAGCTGGCCGCTGCGAGGGCCAACCGCGAGGCGGCCGCCGCCTCCAGAAGCTCGCCTGCAGACAAGAAGCCTGTGTCGATGCCATCGCCGCTGTAGGGAACGGATCGGGCCAGCAGTGCTGGGCCAGCGCCTCGGGGGACTCTGAGCCTCCCCCCCGCTGCGCAGTGCTGCTGTGTGATCGCCTGCAGGTCGTCCAACTCGATCTCGCAAACATCACCTCGATCCTCCACCACGAGGGACGAGAGCGAGCCATCGGATGCGTCATCGTTGTGCTCGCCCGCGGCCGCTGGCGCATCCGAGCTCATCGCGATGTACGCCTGCAGCTGCTCCCTGAGCGTGGCGAGCTGGTCCCGCAGCGCATGCTCCGCAGCAGCCCAGCCTTCTCGTAGGGAGCGGATGTCCTGGGCCTGCTTCGCGACCAGGGCCCTGTACTGGGTGCGGTCCGACGCGGGATGGTGCAACTCCCCCCTCAGCATGTCCAGCTGGTAGTCGGAGCCGAAGCCGCGGCCCAGGTCCCCGTCGGCGTTCGCGCCCCTGTGCAGCCTTGCGCCCTCCAGCTGCTGCAGGAGCGCCGCGTCCCGCAGATCCGATTCCAGCGCCTCCGCGAGCCGACAGGGGCTGCTCTCGAAGGTCCAGGCGACCCCAGTTGAGGCCTGGCTCAACCGCAGCCTGTCGGGCAGGGATAGCATGCCAACGATCCGTACCTGGAGCACCTCGGGCAGCGGGGCCAACAGGGCAGCGGCAGGCTTGAGCGCGGGCCGCTGTGCCGCCTCGAGCCGCTGGCGCGAGACCCGCCGCAGGCGATCGAGGTGATCCTCGCCCCCCAGGAGCTCCGTCTGGACGCTGCCGTCCACTGCCACGGCGACGACCTGGTTCGCGAAGCTCACTATGGGGGGGGCGCCGCCATCCATCAGTGGCGGCAGCGCCGCCCAGCACTGAGCAGTCCATGGCACCGGGAGCCTGGCAGTGCTCGTCGGGTGCCTCGCCGTGGTCGCCGAAGGGCAGCGCGGCCGCCTCCGGGAGCGAGGGCAGCCAGCCCAGGCGGGGGCCTGCGGCGGCCCGCGAATGGCCCGCTGCGGACGCGCGCGCGAATCCGCCCGCAGGGACCAGCAGCGCGTGCCACGCGGCGTTCCGCCGCCGCCGCATTGCGCCTGGGACGCGGCATCCCGCGGCGGCTCGGCGCAGGGCGGGGCGCGCAGCAGCCTCCCGGTCCTGCCAGGAACCTGGGCCGCCGCTGGCCGCCTTGCCGACTGCCGCCGTGGCGGCGAGGAGGCGCCGCGCCCGCGCCCGACGGCGGGCCGCCGAGGCGCCTACCTCGGCCTCCTCCTTCCTGCGCAGCGCACTGCCACGCCTGGTGGGCCGCCCCGCCATCGCGCCTGCGGGCAGCCCCCCGTCGCCATTGCTCATCTCCCAGTCGCGCGCCGCTGACCGCTGCGCGTGGGCGCCTGCGAAAGTCCGGAGAAACAGCTTGAGCCAAAATGGCTACGGATGATGATGATGATGATGATGATGATGATGATGATGATGATGATGATGATGATGATGATGATGATGATGATGATGATGATGATGATGATGATGATGATGATGATGATGATGATGATGATGATGATGATGATGATGATTATCCCTGCGCGCCGTGGGGGGGGGGGCGGGGCACTGGGATATCCCACACGAAAGTCGGGATCAATAGAACTAAATCATTCCTTTGACGTGGGCGATGACATTGTTTCACGCCTTGCGTTTTCGCCTGGTGTTCGGCCCCGGGGCCCTCACCGATCGAGCCGGCTCGAAAAATGCGGCAGAACCATGGTGTTTGGGGCTCCAGTCGTGCTTTCTCCTGATGTTGCACTACTGTTGCTCCGTCGGATTCCCTCCGCCCTTCTCTAGTTTTTTTTTTTTTTTTTTTTTTTTTTTTTTTTCTCTCTCTCTCTCTCTCTTGTTTTTTTGTTGTTTCTCTATCGCTCTTTCTTTCCCTGTCTCGCCCACGCGCAGAGGGGGGTAGGGGGAAAGGGGGGAAGGCTTCTGAGAAGCCTCCGCCCCTCCCCCATACCCGCTTGTGCGCGCCGCCGACGTTCCCTCCATCCCTCCTCCTCCTATCTCTGCTGCTTCCTCCCCCTGCTCATCCAGCCCGTTGTCAAAACGGCGGTATCGCTCCTAGCGCCGCGACCATTCGTCGTAGAAGTTCGCGGCAGTGCCGCAGATGGAGGGCAGGTGGTTTTCAACATGTGGCTCTCGCGCTGGCGCCGCGCACATTCGGTTTAAACGCTTGCGGCAGCTTCACGGATGGAGTGCGGGTGATTTTCCAATTGTGGTCCTGTCTCTGACGCCGCGCGCATTCGTCCCAGAAGTTTGCAACTTCTGTAAGGATTGATGGGATCCCCTAGCGCCGCTCGCATTCGTGTCAGACGTCCTGCAACAGCTTCAAGGGTTCGTACGGTCAACGTCTCACGAAGGATGTTCTGGTATGGTTTGAGGTCGTCATGCCGCAGCAGTCACGCTGACTCGCGGTGTCGAAGTCCCAGGGACTGCGTCCTGGCCTGGCTTAGGATTCGCATTGGCCCAACAGGCACGTGGATCCGCGGCGTTGGCAGTCTCAGGGACGGCTTCCGGGCCCGACTGGGGACTCTCGGACGGTCGCTGCCGCATGGGTCCCTTCCCGCATGGAGCAAGGGCTCCCTCGAGGGCGCGAAGTTATTCGCGCTTCGCGCTTCGCGGTCCTCGTTCCTTCTCCCCCTCCTCCTCGTCCTCCTATTCTCCCTTTGGGGGGGCGGCGCGAGAGCGCGAAGTTATTCGCGCTTCGCGCTTCGCGCAGCGCGAAGCGCGAAGTTGGGAGCCCTAGTGGAGGATCCACTACTCCACATTTCGTAATAAAAGGGAGGGGGTCTGGACCCTCCAAGACAAGCCATTTCAGACCTCCCCCGTGGGAGAGCCCTCCAAAACAGCGTCCCCAGACCCCCCCCCAGGCCCTCCAAGATAGCCTGGAAGAGACCCCCCCCCGAAATGAGACCCCCTCCCTTTATTACGAACTCTGGAGTAGCCATCGTGGTTCCCTCAACGGAGCGCTTCTAGCAATGTGTGATGTGCAAGCTGTGTGGAGCAACATCTGTGGTGCAACCGATGCGGTGCGACCTGTGCGGTGCCATCGATGCGGTGCAGTAGGTGCGGCGCGATCCATGGTGTGCAATCCATGGTGTGCAATAGGTGTCGTGCGATCTACCTTGTGCAATATAGGTTGAGCAACGCATGTGGTGCAATCTATGTGGTGCGATTAATCACTTGCTCAACTTGGGGCTGTCCTCTCCACTGCTCGTGCAAACATCCCACCCTCCCACCCGCAACTTGGTCGCAAGACCTCTTAAGACCGTGACGGTAGGTACCAACTGGCACTTAGCAACGGCACCGACGCCGACGACGACAGCGACAACGACGACGACGACGCCGCCGATACCGACTACGACGACACCGACGACGGCTCCAACGATTTCGACGACGACGACGGCGACACCGACGACGACAACGCCGACGCCGACGACGACGACGACGATGACAACTCCGACGACGACGATGACGACGCCGACGAAGACGATGACGACGCCGACGACGACGACGCCGACGACGACGACGACGAAGGCGACGACGACGTCGTCGCCAACGAAGACGACGACGAGGGAGGAGGGAGGACCACGCCGGCGACAACGACGACAGCGACGAGGGAGAAGGGAGGACGGCGACGACGCGAACGACGAAGAAGGAGGGAGGACGGCGACGCCGACGGCGACAACGGCGAGGGAGGAGCCAAGACGACGACGACGACGACGACGACGACGACGACGGCGACGAAATAGGAGGGACGACGACGAGACGCCGACGACGGATGACGATGACGACGAGAGAGGAGGAAGGAGGACCACGGCGACAACGACAACGGAAACGACGACGACGCCAAAGAGGAGGACGACGACGACGACGACGAGCAACGACAGAAGAAGACGGCGACGACGACGACGACGAGGGAGGAGGGAGGACGGCGTCGACTACGACGACGATGCAAGAGCCCGCGCGCACGCTTTTGTTGAAGATCCGCGTTGCGAAACCGGTTCTTTTGGTTTGTTTTTGGGCACTCGATTTGTCAATTCTTCCGAAACTGAAGGTTTTTGAAGAATTTCGGCATGCGCGCGACGACGCGCGCGCGCGCGCACTTCGGCAGGGTTGTCGCGACGGCACGCGCGCAAGGGCGTTCGAAAGATTTCGACATGCGCGCGCTCGAAGCCCGTTTGGTAGTTTTTTTTGAAAACCTTGAAAAACCATTGTCTTTTTAAGATTTCGCAAGAGCGCGCGCGCAATCTTTTTTAGAAAACGCAGTGTTGCGAAACCCCTGTGTTTTTGTATGTTTGTTGGAAAATCGATTTTGGAACCCTTCCGAAACCGAAGGTTTTTGAAGGACTCCGGCATGCGCGCGCGACGACGCGCGCGTGTGCACTTCGTCGTGTTTTTGTGTCAGAGATTTTTGTCAACTTATGGTTTTTGATAAACGAGTGTGCGCGCATTGTTCTTTTTTGCAAAGGATGGCGGGGCGGTTCGATACTGGCTTGGCTGGGATAGAATAAATTCACAGGTAGGATGGACATTGGGTCAGAATCCCATGTGTTTTCCATCTGGTCCCGGGGGTATTTAACCCCGGGGGGGAGGGTGGTAGAACCTATTTGTTAGAAAGGAGAACCAACGCGACACAATCTACGCGCTGCAACTCATGCTGTGCAATATACGTGGGTCAATATATGTGGTGCCATCTAGGTGGTGCGATCTATGCGGCCCAATATATGTGGTGCAATCTAGGTGGTATAATCTATGTGGTACAATATATAGGGGTGCAATATCTGCGGTGCTATCTGTGTGGTGCAATCTCTGCGGTGTAATCTGTGCGAGGCGGCGACGGGGCGGACACGGAAATGATATATCCGCCAGGCTGGCACACAGGCCCAGACGAGGGGCGGCGACGGGGCGTCGACGGCGACAACATAGCCGCCAGAGCAGCAGACACGGTCCAGACGACGGGCGACGACGAGGCGGCGACGGCGGCCACATAGCCGCCAGTCCGAAGACACGGTCCAGACGACGGGCGGCGACGAGGCGGCGATTGGGCGGCGACGGCGGCCACACAGCCGCCAGACCTAAGACACGGCACGGCTCAGTTCCTTAGAACAGAAGTTCGAACCCCTAATTGCAAGCACGTCTTGGGGACGTTCTCTCAGGGACTTGCGAGGAGGCAACTTGGAGGGAGGATCCCTTCCAAGAACGCTGATGTGCCTTGGGTTTGCACAGGTTCTCCTCCTCCTCCTCGCGATCACCACCGTGCCCCTCCCGCCTTCGTTCGCCGTTCACCCCCACTCCTCGCGCTAACCCCCATCGCCCTCCTGCCCCTCCTGCTCGTGGGGGGCACAAAGAGGAGGAGGAGGGGGAGGAGGAGGAGGAGGAGGAGGAGGAGGAGGAGGAGGAGGAGGAGGAGGAGGAGGAGGGAGGAGGAGGAGGAGGAGGAGGAGGAGGAGGAGGGAGGAGGAGGAGGGCCCCCCTCCTCCTCCTCTTTTTGCCCCCATCGCCACCGCCCGCTCCACCTCGTCCTCGGCCCCCTCCCCCCCCCGTCTCGTGGGGGCCGCCCCTCTGCGGGGGGAACCCTGCACGCCTCGGCGCCCCGAGGTCCTGGAGCCCGGGGAGGAGGCCGTGGTGCAGCTCGCCGTCGGCCATCGGGGGCGGGGGGCTGCAACGCAAGCGCGGTCATCGGTGTTACTGTCCTCCTTGTCCTCCAGCTCCTCCTCCTCCTCCTCCTCCTCTCCTCTCCTCCTCCTCCTCCTCCTCCTCCTCCTCCTCCTCTTCCGTAGCCATTTTGGCTCAGGATGCAGGTTCCCCTTGGGAACCAAGCGGGTACCGCTAGTCCGCGGCTGGCAAGACTTCCTGAAGTCTGGCGTTTTCTCTCGTCCACCTTCCCTGCGCTCGGGCCGGTGGGTAAACGGAGGCGTTTCCCGTTCCTGTCGGCCCGAAGGCGTCCAGCCTTGGCGCGCACGACCTGCGCAGGCCCCCGAATGGCAGTGCTCCCAAGCGCAAGAAGAAGCCCCCTGCAGCGGGGCGTCCAGCGGTTGTGCGGGTGTGCTGATGATAATGTTCCTGCTGGCGGTCGGGTGGACGATGATCGATCGAGGTCGAGCCGTAACATCTCAGACGCAGAAGATGATGCATATGACATGGCCGACGATGACTGGGGTGCCCACATCAACGGCCTCATTGCCGAACAGCTTGGCAAGCTCCTCCCGCTCGAGTTCAAGACCCTCAAGGATGACCTGGCCACGATTGCATCTACCTCTGCGGCCGACGCAGCTGGCAAAGCTGTGGACCCAGTCATGGCGGCTGTCCGTGCACTCGAGAACGCGATCAAGGCAGTCCCTGGGAACTGCAAGAACGAAATGGAAGCCCATTTGCGTCTGGAAGTCAACGATCTCGAGCAACGTATCCAGCGTCAGTTGGACACAATGGCTGCCAAAATCAACGACGTGGACGCCCGCACTGAGACCCTTGCCAAGCAGTTCGCCGACATGCAGAACCCTCTGGAGGAAATGCGAAAGGAGCTTGCTATGGCCAACAAAGTCCCGCAGCCTCCCAAGCCCGCTGGTATTGGTTTCCAGCGTAATATCGACGGCACCATCCTCAAGGCTGTCGCGCCTACGATGGTTTGTAAGAAGGAGGTGGTCGCCTCAGTCGAGAAGTTGCTCCAGGACGCCAAGATCGACGGCTTCAATATCGAAGGAGATGAACAGGACCGCATTTTCGTCATTCAGTTTACAAGTGCTGTCGGCCTCGCCTGCAAGCGTGTGTCCCAGGCCCTCGCAGCACTACGCCTCGGTCAAGGCCAGTGGATGCGCTTCCCCGTGCCAGCCGCGTCGGGTGGCTCAACGCAGCTGCGCAGTGGGCCAGACAAGTCTCCGCACCAGATCAAGCTCGAGATCGCTGGCAAGAAAGTCACGAACGTGCTCCGCCAGGAGCATCCACAGTGCAAGTTCTTCTTCGATCGACATAATGGTTGGCTTTCTGAAAACTGGAACCCTGTGCTGCGCCTGGAACCTCAGCCTGGCCGTGACCCCGCGCTCTGCCACTTTCACGACGTTGCGCTCACCTCCCGTGGCTGGACGCGCGCTGGGATTGACAAGTCGATCGGCCACATCCTCAAGTCCAACGCGGAGCCAGAATGGTCTCTTTAGCAAGTACGATGACATCTTCTACCACAAGGTTGATGGTGGCCCCGCGCCGCGGTGTCAAGAGCTCACGTTCGCGTCGTGGAATGATCGGGCTCTGTTGCAGTTTCGTGGCGCGCGCCCGATGAGCAAGGCCTCCTACCTGGACTTGCTCGGCATATCGTCCTCTGCCGTCGCCATCGAAGAGGTTCGCCAGCCCCAGGGCGAGCTGGAAATTTTCATGCGCAGATTCGCACCATCAGCTACGGTCTTCGGTTCCTTCGAATTTGTGCGTGATGGAGATGATGAGTCAGGTCGTGGCCGTGGCGGTGTCGCCACGATTGTGCCGCTTTCTGCACCTTCAGCTCGAGCCTCTTCGTCCGCTCCTCTCATCAGGGGCAGAGTGCAGCGGACAAGCTTGGTTGGCTCGTGCGCTGAGATTCGACGCTACAATATTCACAGTCCTGGTCTCTCTGTGGCGGAAGCTCAGCAGGTGATCAGGACTATGCAGGATGATTTGAAGTGGGCGTCGCTCAGTCACAGTTCTCGGTTAGTCGCTGTATGCGGCGGCCTCAACTTTGCGGCCCATGATGCGCTCCACTGGGCACAACCGACGGCAGCTAAGCCAAGACAGATTACGAATGACTCTCGCTCCCATGCAAGGCTCTGGTCTTCGGTTTTTGATCGCATGTTAGAGATAGCGTCTGAGGGTCCGACCCACTACTGCCAGGACACGAAGACAGTGTCGCAGATCGACGCGCTCTGGCTGTCTGAACCGAATTGGATGTCGCGCCAACTCCAGCACCCCGTGTCGGTGACCTCCACGCCCGAGGGGATGCGCGCCAAGGAGCTCGCAGACCACGCGGCGATCAGGGTTCACATTCGACATCGTGACCTGGAAGGCTGCTACTGGAAGCCAGTCCCTGCGCATATCTTCAAACGACCTGAGTTCCGGCGGCGGCTAAGCGCGCTGCTTGTCAACGATGGGCAGTTATTATTGGGCATGTCGCCGCCGAGGCAACTGTTACGTTACAGCGACCTGGTTCAAGCTGCGGCGCTCGATGCGATGCAGAGTATCTTTGTCAACGAGAGCGACTCACTGGAGGCCCAGTTGGTTTTTGTTCGTCAAGCGTTCGGTGTGTTTGGAGACAGAACACTTCTCTTGCTCAGCAAGTATGCCATGCCTCTGAAGTTGCGCGATCATGCTTACATGTACAAGACACACAGGTCATCATCACAGAATGTGCAGCGTTTCAAGCATGGGTGGACCCTATTCAACATCGATCGGCGGAGCTGGAAATGGAGCGACTACAACATGCTGCTGTTCATGGGAAATGGCGCCAGCGTCCTTCTGCAGGTACGATCGCGGCGGTGCAACGGAAAGCTCGGCTTTGTGCTCCGTTCGCAAAGAAGTTGGTATTGCGCTCCATCGAGGTCGATGGTATCACCTACACCGACCCCGTCGAGAAGCTGGATGCGCTCCCGCGCTATTGGGCGCCAATTTCTGCCGCCCCCCAAGACTTTCCTGTTCACACATGTGTGTATGATGGGCTTGCCCCTCCATCCTTCGAGATGCTCCAACGTGTGCTTGTCAAACACGCGCCGTCGCGGTCCTCTCCTGGCGTCGACGGACCACCATGCGCTGCGTGGGCTGCACACGAGATGGGCGCGAAGGTCCTCTGGCTAGCCTGTGTATGGATGATGGACGGGCAGCGGTTATTCGCACAGCGCGGTGACACTCTTCAAGCTTTTCTTCCTAAAGGCTGTCAAGCTGGAGATGATGACGACAGAGGGGTCAACAGGTCGCCTGACACAGTGCGCACCCTTGGACTACGCAACACGGACATGAAAGTTATCTCGGCCACTTCCAACGCCGCCCTCGCCCCCATAGTGCAGAGCTCCACATCCGCCGCGCAGCGGAGCTTTATTTCGGGCCGACAGTTCACCTCAACTATTCTTGAGCTCGATGTGGTAGCCAGGGCCGTCTCGCTGATGCCCAACCCGGTGGAGAGGAGGCCGCTGCTTGCGGCACTGGGTTGTGGGCGCGCGTTCCCCGGCCTCAGCCAGAGTTACCGTTTCATTATTCTTGGGCATCTGCAGCTACCGTCTGCTCTACTACAGGCGATACGCTCTCTCTATGCGATTGTCACTGCATTGGGCAGAGCTGCAGGGGTCACTAAGCCCCTCTTCCGTATCTGGTGCGGCACCATTCCAGGCTGCGCCTTATCTGGAAGCTTGTTTGCCGCGGCGGCTTCGCCAATTTTGGAAGACATCAGGCATGGGATCGAGCTTCGACAACGCGGTGTCTTTCGAGCGTGCGCTGATGACATCGGGGGAGTGCTCTTCGAGATGATCGATCTGAAATTCTCATCGCGCGCGATGGCGGTGGCAGCCAAGCTGGCCAGCTTGAAGCTCAAACCTGCTAAGTGTGTGATTGTCCCACTGACAGGACCATTCTCGGCTGAGCTTCGCCAGCGTGTGCATGTCTTCTTGCAGCAGCAGCTAGCGGACTGGTCTACCTTCAAGGTTGAAGATTATCTTCTGCACCTGGGGATTTGGATGGGGCCAGCGGCATCGCTACCTCAGTCGTGGTCGGCGCCGCGGGATAAATACCGAGCTCGAGTCAGCGCCCTCGCTGCCTCTGCGGCGCCTGCGAGTTTGAATGGCATCAACTACACTACGAGATGCTTACCCATCATGGGCTATGTGGCACAATTCCTTCCGCTCCCTGCGAAGCTTAAGAGACATACATGTGATCGTGAAGCTGATGCGTTTCCCTGGTGGGGCCTTGAGGCAGGTTGGCTTTCATGCACTTAGCGCTTGGGGTGGGCCCCGCCGACGGTGCTTGGCCATATCAGCGAAGTCTGCGCTCATCCGACCTGGGATTGTCACGCATCCTGAGCATGCATCGTATTTGGCATACCTGAAAAGAGCATCATCGAGGTGGATTGATGAGCGCGCCTTGGCTGATCTTTGCAGCGGACTTTCGCCCTCATTCTGGCGATTACCGTCTTTCGCCGAGTTCCTGTCAGACGCTTGCAAGGTCTCAGCGTCTTCAGGTGCTGCTGCCGTCCACAACGCTTTGGTCGGGGATGACTCAATCAAAAGGCGTGCCCAGCGGATTGCGTACCAGGCGTTATCAACTGAGTACTTTGGTGCTCATCAGCCGTTGCAGTCCACTTGCACTTCGCGTTTGGTCACCACCCTCACCAAACGGTGGTTTAAATGGTCCCCGCAACTCGGCAGCGAGATCAAGGCGCTGGACTTTGACGCCCTACGCAAGAAGTTGTCGTCATACCCTGTTGCCTGGTCCACCAGCATTATTCGTGCGTTCTGTGGCGGATGGTTAACCTCGTCTCGCATCCCGTCTGCGTCTGGTGTCAAGCAGTGCCTGTTCGGGTGCTGCGACGGGCGAGACGACTTGGCACACTATTGGGAATGTCGCGGGCTTGCATGGGGACTCGCCATGGTTAAGTCAGGAGGGCGTCGTCACTTGCCTTCGAACGTTTTTGATCGTCGGGGTCTCCGCGGCTGTTTCGATGAGGATTTGATGAACGCACATCTTGCCACTATCGCGTATCATGGTCTTCGGCACCGGCACCGCGTCCCCCCCGAGCTGCTGCTCACTGCACTGAGAGGCGCAGTGCGGACACGTGCGCTGGCTTCGCCTCTGGCTGGGCGCGCCAGGATCACGCGCCGCCCACCGGAGCCATCCAGTCCTTCGCCTGGTATTTGTCTTGAACTACCTTCGGTCGAGCATCCACGGTGTGTCAATATTCGCGATATGCTGCCAGTCGGACGCCGCTTCCTTCACGACACTCTACCGCGTCGTGTGGGTTATCCTGATGCGCTTTGCGAGGTCAGGTGTTCTGCTATACCGCCGACTGGAATTGGTCCTATCATGCTGCGCCGACTGGAACAATTTGCTGCTCTGCTTGAGTCTTGGGCGCGGAACTGGGCCCCCTCGCTCTTCTTGGAGCCCAGCGGCTGTAGTGACTTCGACGACTGGATGCAATGGGGTACAGAGTTCTCTAGCCGCGTGTTCCAATACTGGGCGTTCTGTGGGCTGTTTGCTACCCCCGTTGGGACGATGCAGGAGAGGTGCAACCTCGGCTCCAGCATGTGCCTTGCTGCGTGGCACAGTTCGTCAGTCGGGAGGACTCGGCTGCACCATCACCTATCGACAACTTGGGACACGGCCGACTCTACGCGGGTGTTGGCATTGAGGCAAGCTGCGGACGAACACTTGCACATTCGTTGCTGGCCTCATCTTCAGGCGCACGGCTGTGCATCCTGGCTCGCCCGAAGCAGTGACTGAGGGATTGTGCCCTGCCAGGTCTACTCGTGCGACTGCTGAATGGCTTCCGCCGTCTTGTGGTGTCCCCCTTGAGCAGGACCCACTGTTTGCTCAGGACCAGCTGATGCGACACGTTCCACATGTAGTGCAAGGAGATCAAGGACATCGGCGTCGTCTGCTGCTGACTGCTATCGCTCGGTGGGCAGAGCAGCGGTTGCCTTCGCTGTATGTTTCTTATTCTGGGTCTGTCTTCCAGCAATGGATGGAGTTGTGTGTTCCTTACGTGGCAGACGTATTACGCTATACTGACTTTCGATCACTCTTCTCCCATTCATCGCGCGGGGCCCTGGGAGCTTTGACTTGCGCCTCGGAGCGCTGGAATACGGCGATCGAACTGTGTCTGAGTGGCTTGTACTCGTCAGCTATTCCCAGGGAGCAGGCGCGTCTGCACCTCCGACAACCGTGGCCCGCCCATGATCATCGGCGTCTCCGCACCCTACGGCAACGTGCCTTCGCACATCTTCGGCAACGGGACTGGGCTGCTGACTTGACACGTATGAATGAAGCAGAACAGGCTGACAGCCTGCGGATGCGACAGGTTTCCCGTCTGGGCCTCCGCTGTCGCTCAACCCGCTCACGCACCTCCTGCCGCACCGCGTGCCAGAGGGGGACGACTGCGTCGACACCGATGCCCTGTGCCCGCCTGACGAGGACAACCGCAGCGTCGACACCATTGGCTACCCTGGGCCCACGGACATGGACATGGAGCACATGGGGGCCCCCCATGAGGATGATATGGAGATGTCGCCCGATGAATATTCCCACCACTTTGGGCCGATCTTAACTGACGAGGAATTCGAAGCTCAAGTTCAGGCTGTCGTGCGTCGCTCGAGGGTGGACACATATGGGCCGTCTGATCATGCGGCCTCATCCTCTAGGCCGCCACCCGCTTCTCTCTCTCTCTCTCTCTCTCTCTCTCTCTCTCTCTCTCTCTCTCTCTCTCTCTCTCTCTCTCTCTCTCTCTCTCTCTCTCTCTCTCTCTCTCTCTCTCTCTCTCTCTCTCTCTCTCTCTCTCTCTCTCTCCTGATGAACGGCACGAGCCCACATCTACCAGCGACTCCGACGATGGCTTCAACGAGACGATGGCGGCGCATGGACTTGGGGTTATCTATCCAGATGGTTCAGTGGGTGGGGCTGCGAGACGGACAATGGCGGGCCCTGCGATGGTCGCTCCCCCACGGGGCCCATGGAGGCAGCTACCTCGTCGGCTTCTGCTACAGCGAATGCAGATACCCTCAATAGTTTTCAGAGTTGGATTACGGCGGTGCGTGAAGCCTTGTCTGCCGCCCGAATGGCCTCGGGATCTTCAGAACTGCTCTCAGACAGACAGATGGCGCGTGCGGTAGACTTCCTGAACGAGCATTTCGATGTTTCGGACGAGCAGCGGTGCCTGGTGATCTGGATGCTTCAGAATCCTGGCAGTGTACTGGGTGGTGATGAAAGCGGCGGTCTTCACCTCGAGTTGCAGGGCTCGGTCGGCGTAGGTGACTACCAAGCTGGGTCTGGATCTGCCCAACCCTCTCAACTGGGGGCACAGGGCTCAAATGCTACTCGCCCACGGGTTAATGGTCTCACCAATCGTGTTCGCGTCTCCTGGTCGACCAACCCTACGAGCGTGACACCACTACCTGCAGAAGCTCCCCATGCTCACGAGCAGCATGATGAGGTGTCTGAGGCGGATGCCCTTCCCTCAGGCAGTGTTGTTCTTGGTGATGATGTGCTTCCTGATGACGCTGCGGATGCCTCTTCCTCGCCGCCTGCGGTAGCGGCCTCTTCAGAAAATGGTGCCTCGAGTTTGAGCGAGGACGATGAGGATGTACTGGTTCAATTCTTGGAAGCAGAAATGGATGCGGACAACGACTTCGCTGCGGCCCAGTCTGTGGTTATGGCCTCTGCTGCTCCTCTTGGGGACACAGGAGATCCCGGTGACCAGCATGCGGGGGGTTTTGTTCTGGTTCTGGCAGGTCCTGGAGAAGGCCCCGCTGTGGACAGCGATGGCGTCGATCGCCCTGCTGGCCCTGCTCCTGCTGAGGGCTCTTTTTCATCGTGACAGCGCAGCCGTCGCTGGCACGTCAAATGGCGACGCCAGCTTCCACCACGACGACATCGGCGACCTGCTCGACTCCACGGAGGAGGGCCTGAGGACAGGCCCCGCGCGGGCCGAGGGCGGTGCGCCTCGTGCTGCCCAGGGCAGCGGTGCGGCTGGGATGGGGACTCCCCTTGAGGCGTGGGCTCCTCCTCCTCCCCCCTCCTCCATCCCCCCTCCTCCCCTCCTCCCCTCCTCCATCCTCCACTCCTCCCCTCCTCCTCCTCCTCCGCCTTCCCCCTTCTCCTCCTCCTCCTCATCCTGCCTCCTCCCCCTCCCCCCTTTCCATCCCCCTCCTTCTCCTCCTCCTCCTCCTCCCTCCTCCTCCTCCTTTTCATCCTCCTCCCCTCCCTTCCGCCCTCCCCCTCCTACTTTTCCTCCCTCCTCCTCCTCCTCCTCCTCCTCCTCCTCCTCCTCCTCCTTCGTCTTGCACGCATCTTCTTTCTCTTCCTCCATCCTCCCCAGTCCAATATAAAACGCGGCTATCTGTTTTACTACGGAGGGGGTTGTCGTTAAGGAATTTGCGCAGGAGGTTTCAGACTCTGGAGGGTTCCTCGTCTGATGGGGGCGGCGGTGATGTCCACCGCCGAGTGTCAATGGGTGTTCCACCAGCGTCCAGTCCAGGCCCTGGAAACCTTATCGAAGGGTTCCTTATCGAACGCCTTCACCGTATTCTCCTCGTCCTCCTCATCCACCTCCTCCTCGATCCTCTCGTCCCCCATCGTCCCAGCATCTTCCTTATGTTTCTCCCCCCTCCTCCCCATTACAGGACAAAAGACTGCACACAAACGACGATGGCACGCATACGGCGCGCATCGATTTGATCGCATCGAAAATTCGATGTGGACAGCAGCTGGTGGCAACAAGAAGGACCGACCCGAGACGGAGAGATACACATTTGAGGAGCTTCGGGGGCGGATGTGGAATCTTGCTGCAGCCCAGATCGGGGAATCTCATTTTAAACAGCGGGGGTGTCTGAGCAAGCACATCCTGAAATACATCATATGACTCCGAACATCGTCGGCGACGGTGAATAGTCGTTCGTTTGGGGAGAGTTTCATTCGGCTGCCCAAGCCCAAACCTCCGTAGTAGCATCGTTGATGAAGAGAGTGCTGGAAAATGACAAGACGGTTGCCAACGGGAGGGACATCTCTAAATATTTCGCCGCTTTCTGCGAAGACTTGTGCTCGGCAAAGGATGCGGTGACGCCGTTTCCTGGACTGGAGGACCCACCAACGGACTCCGAAACACCGCCGCGCATCACGACGTCTGATATGAACACGTGGTCCGACAGCTACAGCGTAATCAAAGCGCAGCAGGTTGTATCGTTGACGAGATGTTGTTGCATAGTGGCGACGTACTTTTAGACGCATGGGCTCGGTTTTGGACGACTAAAGGCATTAATTGCGGGTCTGAGAGCCGCTAGAGTTCTGGAGGCAATTTAATACGAACGTATTGCACGCATCTGGTGCCTGCAGAGTGCCCAAGTGCATCTGCCAGCTACCCCGGTTCCAATATTTCAGATGCTGCTCGCACGGCTGTTATGCAAACGTTTGCCCGTGATCTTGGAGCCGCAGCACGACATGGATCGAGCAGGTTTCTTGGAAGGCTTTTTCCACAGGGGACCACGTCATCAAGGTCGCCATGCTTCACGGGAGCGCAGACGAGCAACAGCTACGTATCTAGTCTGCAGTGCTGGGCTTTCAGGAAGCGCTCGGTTGCCCAGAGCACCATGGATTGTGGAACGCAGGGGGCTTCTGAGGCGACACCAGCATGCTGCAGATCTCGCACGGCGGACACAAAACTCGGGTTCGCACGGGGGCTAGTAGCCGTTGGTTTGATTGTTGTTTTCAGTGGCACAACAAGGAGACCCTTCGAGCTCTTTGATGTTCAATGTTGGAGGATATGCTGAGAAACGCGAATGTGGGTGTGCGAACAAAGCGATATGGCACATACTTAGGATGCACACCAGGGTAGCGCCTGAGTATGGTAAGTGTTTCTGATGATGTGATCCTGCCTGGGTATTGCGCTGTACCCGATCAACAAGATGGCTGCCAACATGCACGCGTAGGTCAGCGCGGTGGGCCTCCAGACTCAAATGAATACCATTGAATACATTCACGAACGCCACGATGAGGACAATGAGGGGAATGAGGTACACGCTGCGATACACGACATGCGGATCGAAACTTTGGGATCTGGAGAATGTGCAACATGGACATGTCCAGGTGGGGC